GTTACGCCTGTCTCTCTTGTCTTGCAGATCAAATGCTTGACTCCTGGATATCAAAGTGTGCAGCTCGTATACGTAGACTGCCCTTAAATTGTAGCTGTGAGCACTAAAACGGACAAGGAAAATATTTTCCCATACACATATAACATAATATGAAGCCTTTTGGGGATATTAGGTATGCGGGTATACAGTAATATGGTGGATTGTCTGCAAGACCCTCATTGAGACAAAGAGGGGAAAGATGTAGGTATGCAGTGTTGACTTAATTACTGCATAAACAAAGAGTGGACCTTCAATGACAAGAACAAACAACATAGCACAAATCAACATGTGCCGGGGAATCACAGAAATACAGATATGGAAGAGGTAAGAAAAGGCCTTGGCAAATATGATGCTGATCCGACATATCACATCCGAGCAGCGCGTGTGGTCTTGTCGTAGAAGTCCAAGGTCATAGCTGCCAGGAAACACGGAATGTCCTTTCTTTCTTCAACCCAAAATTTGATAAGAGGTTTAAGTTCCATGGCGAACAGACTGTTCGGTCCACCCGATATCTTCATGGTGCCGTTCTCGCCGTCGAAAACGATAGAGTTTTCTTCGCCGTTGCCCATGCTGCCGGGACCAGAGTCTGAAGGTGCATCGCAGTCGCCGTGCCGGTATGCGGAGGATAGGTGGAACATGGAAGTGACACGCACTCTGCCGTTCGGTAAGAAATCAAGTTTGAAGCCGAGGAGAGAGGCGACGGCTTCCCGGAACTCGGAGGACTTGGCTGTCCAGATCTCCTTCAGTCGGCGCATGCGCTTTTCTTTATCGGCAACGGTGCGCTCCATGTCTTGCATTTCGAGTTTGATGCTCTCCAGAGTGCTAACGGGGACGACTTTGACATCGGTCCGGCCACCACGCAGCTGCGCCATGAGGTCTCTGTTTGCAGACTGAAGAGTTGCAAGAGTAGTCATCTTAATTTGCTCGGTTTGAGCTGTCGGATTATCGCGTAGTTCAAGAACGCGTGTTCGTGACTTGGCCTTCAGAGACTTAATCTGTGACTTGGCCGCCTCTAGTTCCCGGCGAGCGAGAGTCGTTGCCTGGTCTGATTTGGTGAGATGCTCCTGGAGCTTTCGGTTCTTGCGGCTGAGCACAGCAATACGCTCCGTTTCGGCTTCATTATTGGTGGGAGAAAGAGGTCGCTTCACACCTCTTGGCTCTTCCTCTTTTGGAGCTTCCTGCTTGGACAGCTCTTCGTGAACTTTTTCAAGCTCACTGCGATATTCGTCAACCAGCTTTTGCAGCTGGGCGATTTCCTCTGACTTTTGACCATCGAATTGTGATTGATCTCCACCCATGGTGGCCTCTTCGGCATCGAATGTCTTGAGTTGGGCTCGCAGGTATTCAACTTCTTTGACTGCAAGCGCACGCTGGCGCTCCAGTCGAGCTCGAAGCCGGCCCTCCGCGGCACCCGGTCCTCCTGCAGAGGCGGCACTTGCAACACGGAGTTTCTCCACCTCCTGTTGAAGATTGTTTTTCTCGCTTTCGAGGCTCTTGATGGCCTCGTCCTTCTCAAGTAATTGAGCATCAACGGTTCCCAGGCGATCGAGGAGTGTAGCGATCTCAATTCGTCCTTGAACTACCGCCCTCACGACAGCATCTGGTGAGTCAAACTCTGCCGGCTGGTCGTTTTCCTGTAGAAGGCTGACCCAAGATTGCCGCTCATCTTCCAACATTTGCTTTTGAATCTGAACTGTGTTAAGTTCTGCTTCAAATCCTTTCATCAGCTGGAGCTGATTCTCCACTGATCTCTTTTGTTCTTCGACAACTTCAACGTTCTTCGAAACTTTTCGAAGGTGACGCAGTTCCGTTGTTTGATCACGGTTTGTCGACTCCAATTCCCGAATATGATTGACCTGCTCGGAAAGTTCTCTCTTTAATACTGTCAAAGTCTCAGCATCGTTTCCTTCGGCCTTCAGTCGGATATTCTCCGCTTCGAGCTCAGCAACCTCGGCTTCACGCTGTGATAATTTCTCTTGTGTTGATTCCTGCGATGTCCTGGCATTTTGGATATCGTTCTGGAATTCTTCGATCGTCTTTTGTAGAGAAGCGCGAACTGTCTCTAACTCGTTGATCTGGTATTTAAACTGCCGTTCCTGGTCGGAAAGTCGAGCTTGAGTGTCGTCAAACTCTTCCTGCAAGTTCTGATTCTCGTCCTGGAGGCCTCTAATCTTGCGCTCAAACGCAAGTTTGTCATTCAAAGCCTGGTCTTGAATTTCTTTCAATTCCTTTGCGAGTTCGTCGCTCTTATGGGTAGCCCGATTATTCGAAGATTCAGCAGCCTGCAGCAAAGACTGTCAGTTTGAGTTCGTGGAAACGAGAATTTTGTTGTTGCTCACCTGAGCTTTCCGAAAGTCTGCATCCGCTTTCAACTGCAAGTCGCGGGTCTCTTTTTCGTGGCGAAGAGCCTCCAGCTCTCGTTCCTGCTTGATATTCTCGAGCTCGTATTTGAGAGTATTCAATTGGACGCGTAGCTCATCCTTTTCCGCGTCTATATATACCAGTCAGTTTGCCGCCCAGGGACTCTCAAACCAGTCTGCGCAGGGTATGGTCTAACCATGAATGGGTTGATGGGACTGGGCTTGAGATTGGGCAAAACGGCCAGATTGTCGCAAAGCAGTCGATCGGCGCATTGTACTCCGTGCACCGGAGGGTGTCGAGGGTGAGCCAAATCCAGCAATGAGCTGGGAAGCCGGTCGGCTGTTCTGGCTATTGTCCATCTATTAAGAACCAGGGGAGGTCAGTTGTTGTATAAAAATAATATGGAGACCCATCAAAGCTCACTTTGAGGTTTCGGCTGTCGTAAGCCCCACGGAAATTGCTGTCTAATGGGGCATGAGGCAGAACACAATTGCGCAACTTATCCTCGAGCTGTATCAAAGGGAAGATGGTTAAAGGCGGGTACCGCCCGCCTTGTTTTGGATTATGTCAGCAGTGAACTGCGCCCGAAAGAGGGTTAGCGCCGTTTTAAAAATTATTTCGATTTTGGCATCGAATTCTCAGTTCACCACCCTCACCCGTGACTCGTCTCCTTTCACCTCGGTCTCTCGTTCAATTTTACTCAATTTCTTCCGCTTAATACCCCACAATCGTCATCATGGGCAAGGACAAGGTCGAGAAGAAGGACCGCGCTGAGAAGAAGGAGAAGCGTGCGGAGAAGGACGGTGTGCACAAGGTCAAGAAGGAGAAGAAAGAGAAGAAGGATAAGACTGCTCTTGTCGATGCAGTAGAGAAGGAAATTGTCTCTGAGGCTATGGAGGGCGTCGAGGGGACTGCTGTCGCTGTCAAGGGCGAGGGTGAGGTTGACGCCGCTGTCGACCGCCCCGTCGGTGCTCTCGTGCCGTTCGCCAACCCATTGGTTGAGGACAAGCAGGCCAAGAAGGTCCTGAAGAGCGTCAAGAAGGGTATGTGCACTGTCTTTGCAAAATTCTACCTACCTCTTTCACTATCAGTGGGCATGGTCGATTTTCATCGGATCTTCGGATCGTCCATGTCTACTGATCGCATGGTTGCGCAACTTTTTTCTTATCTCCAGATCGTCCATGCTGACCTTTATCTTCTAGCTGCCGTCAACAAGTCTCTCAAGCGTGGTGTCAAGGAGGTCGTCAAGGCTCTCCGCAAGTCTCCCATCCCCGCCGCCAACGCCCCCATCGGTGTCCCCAGCGGTGTTGTCGTTCTCGCTGCCGATATCTCCCCCATGGATGTTATCTCCCACATTCCCGTCCTCTGCGAGGATCACGGCATTCCCTACGTCTTTGTCACCTCCCGCGCTGAGCTCGGTGCTTCCGCTGCTACCAAGCGCCCTACCAGTGTGGTCATGGTTACCCCCAAGGCCGCCAAGGGCAAGAAGGATGATGATGAGGAGTTCACCAAGGTGTTCGAGGAGCTTGCTGGCTTGACCCAGAAGGAGCTCAAGAAGCTGACAGTCTAAAAATGTTCTCGACTTGTCTCTTTTACCTTTTGTTATTTGCTCTTCCCACGCTGGTCACTGCGAGTGGGTTCTCTGGTTGTACAGGTTTCTGATACCGTCTGTTCAGACGGTGCATGTCTTATGGGGTCCGGCCTATGGGCATCTTTCTATATTTGCTGTTTTGTTCCAACTCGGCGTTATTTCAATGGTGTACGAAAAAGGCAAGAATTCCAATGAGATATCACCAACCTCATAGACTCGATTCTCAGTAAGGTCTCGGTTAATTTTAATGGACATCCCATGCAAATCCCAATAATTGTATTGCCCCACAGACAGCGTGACACATGCATAGACCACGTTATGCCTGCGAATTGATGTAATTGAAAAGTCTGACGGTATAATCTCCTTGTGCGATAGAACGGCGGGTCACATGAAATTGGTCTCAAGCCCCTCCAATATTCGATAGTGCTGGCAGTCCAAGCAGATCAACCCTAAATTCTCACAAATGTAATCAGTCACACGGCAAACTCAAGAATTGTACATAGCAGGTGGGGCGGCGATGAATTTAATACACATACTCCGTACTCCGTGGTGTGAAGAGCCAAGCCCTGGGCATTTAGCCTTGCATCGCAAGATAAACTATTACCGTGGCGTTCTCAGTTCACACCAATCAATATAATCAATCACTGCACCCCTCGACCTTGATGTCAAACAAGGGATGAAGTGCATACCCCAAGCGCACCAGATGCCAATTCCAGCCAATCACTAAGTATAGCGCCCTGGATAAATCCTATCCTAAGCTTACAGATCTTCTAGCGTTAGCCTAGATCCAGGAACATATTTGGTATTGGGCACTGGATTTGAGAATGGGGGTTTTCCCTTTGTCCTACCCAGCTTCTTCCTTGTGCTCAAGGCACGGCCCTTGCGGTTGATCTCCTGTCTTCGAAAAATGATATAAAGAACTGAATACCCTCGTACTGCGTCGCGCAATTCATTATTTCTGTATATACTCGGCCATCATTTAGCCAATTCGCCCTTTATATCTTTGACAATGCAAATCAATCACCCCTCCGTCTTAACACTCGCGCTTATTTTGGCTGTCGCTCATTCAACTACATCCCACCCTATCCGAACTAGCAAATGGGTCAAAACAGAACAATTCCCAGATTCCAACGCCCAAGGAATATGGAAGGTCTTTGAGAAAGAGGCATACGATCTATTACCCGACCCACCATATGTCAAATACAACGGGGTAAGTACCAAATATTATAGTGTCGACTCGGCGACTTACCTATATCCATCTATAGAACCCAGCATGGCCTCACAGCCAAACCAACAAACCGGCAGAGCGAGACACACAAAACAATCGCTATAAAACTGGAACTTCCGAATCTGGGAAACCAACAGTCTCAATCCTGATCCCAGCATCCCCAGGAATACCCGAGCCAATGCACAATCCCTACCACCAACAAACGAGGGGGAAGCAACAAAATCACTCCCCGGAAGACAAGGAGAGCCCAATCAATTCACCGGCTGCCCAGAGACAAGGTCATTACAACGATATTCTACAATACCTGCGCACAAAACACGCCCCAAACAATGAGCGCCAACACACCACGCCTACACCTTTCTCCCACTCCTCATCGGGCCATTCAATCTCGCCTTTCGCATACCGCTTCTCTTTCACGACCCTAAAATCAAAAGCCATGACGTTCCCGCGGTATGCTCTTCCGGAAGTTTTTACGACAGTGATTATTCTCCTAGTGATGGTTTGGATAGCTATTTTCACCATCGGGTTGCTTGAATTGGGGAGATATCTTTGGAGACGGAGGAGAGTGTCTTTGGATAGGGTGAGTGCTCAGCGTCTGCATGGTCAGGATCCAGATGTGGATTTGGATGAGACGATGAAGGTGCCCCTGAGGATAGTTATTGCTCCTTCAGAAAGCACCCGACCGCACTTTGCGAGAGGACATGGGTATGAATTCCTAGAGTCCGTTCCTAGTGATTACGACTCCGACTCGGGCTCGGAATCTGATGAGGATGATTATCGCATCTTTTGATAACCCGATATATATATTTAATCTGTACATTCGTTGATCAATCAAATATTACTTTTTCTTTTGCGGTCGTTTGACTCCATTGAACTAAACAATTATATATCAGAAGCTTCTCTTCGACCTCTAAAAAGAAATATGTCGTGTAGAAAAATACACATCCTAGTGAGAAAGTGGGAGGAAATACCAAATAAACTAATGGTGAGTAAATAATTGAAACAAATGTAATGATCATATTTTCAAGTGTTATTGTATATAAGTACGCAATCACAAATCATACACAGTGCATCATAGCCCCAGACTAAGCCGAGCTCAATCAAAGCACGCTAACTTGCATTCTCCCAATAAAAAGATGGACCATCTCAAAGTAAGGAGACTTAGGCGCGCTGATCACTCTCCAAGTGCTCATATACAGTATGAGTATCAATACCCTTTTGATGAGGACGGGCAGAGTCATTAGCAGTATGGGCATTGCTGTGCTGGAACTGGCTGATAGCTTCACGGCCAGGGTCCTGGCTTGAGCTAACTTCCGAGTTGAAGCTAACATTCTTAACATCGTCGGAGGGGAGACCACCCGCTCGAATATCAGTCACGTCGTTGAACTGGCTGCCACCACTACTGCCGCTGGCGGTAGAGTATTCGCCAGCCTTGATGCCCATCTCCCTTTTGGCCGCAGTTGAGCCACCGGCGTACCCAGAGTTATCCATGTGTGTGCCAGGGAAGTTGCCCTGGCCAACCACGCATTCGGGGTATTTCTGTTCCTCATGACGGTTCTGACGCTGGGCACCAAATGGGGCGGAGGGAAGCTTGATGGAGGTGGAGGTGTTGGCATTGGTTACTGTGGATTGATTTCCCGACATGCCCATTTCCTCGGCGCCACGGTTGCCAGAGAAGCCGCCGCCTTCACGGATTGATTCGGCGGCAAGTGAGTCGTTGGTAATTGGACCGGACGGTTCTTCAATGCGCTGTTGTGTACGAGGATCGGTGGTCACCTTGGTGCCACGGTTGCCGGGACGAAGAGGGGTGCCTTGAATATTCATGATGAGATGGAAAAAGTGTAAGGGAGTAGAACAAGGCACTGTAGAGTTGCTTGGTAGGAAAGAGAATGGAGATAGTTGATAGATGCTACATGGTCGTGATGGCAGATCTATATAAGAAAGCAGTGCGAACCACACGATCTGGTGCTCCTATGGAAACTGGTCGTACAGCAAAGAGCATTGATGTCATACTTACGTTGTCCAGGGCCATTTACAAGATATATGCGAGCTCAATCTTGTTGGCCAGGAGCAGTCGCGTCAACTAGTTATGCTTGAGGCACTCTGTTTGGTGGTTGGAGAAACCGATAGAACAGAGGGTGTGGAGCATAGGCTCCCCTCTGATGTATTCGTGCTTCTAGAAGGCATCAAAGAGGAAGCCTGTGCGCCACATGCTTTTCCAGACTTGTCTGAATCTATCTCCAAACAAGAGTGGGCGTTGTTATGAGGAGGCATTGACGTCAGGCCTAGACCCCTGACATGCAAACAAGGCAAATATATTTATCCATAGATACATAGTTATGACTCTACATACAAGTGTAGTTATCTCAAATAACTATTAACATTTAATATTATGTTAAGATAGGCTTGAAAGTATGGCACATTTTTCGTCGTGGTAGCGAAACTGCTTTTACATGTTTATTGTACATATAACTATGTAGTTTTGGCTCAAACACATCCAGATTATGCTGATTCTATATGAAATCATACATAGTTAGCCACTTCTAAATCTGTACTATTTGATAGTCCTCGATAGAACAAACGATCAAGTGTTTGGTTTTTACAATTGCTTGTTGATATACACTTATCAACCAGAATGGAAATTTTGAAATTCACTTAGTCGCTCGTAATGACATAGACACAAATGACTACCTAGCGTACACATAATAGAATCTCATTATTATGTACTCAGATAACGGGTCGTGGCATTAGGGGGAAGGTGATACAGCCCATCGATACCCTATAGTCCAAGTTCGCTAGCACTTCTGCCAACAGGCGCATTCCCACGCAGGCCACTGTTATCAGGAGGGAACTCTAAACTTCCAGAGCCAATGCTAGTAATACGCTGGTCAAGGGAGTTCCAGTCACTGGCAACTGGTGGTTGATCAGGCAGAGGCAGGTTGGCCTTGATCTTATCGATTTGTGCAGCCTTGTTGGAGTTTTGGTCGATGATGGACTATAGATAACATGTTAGGTGATCTATTTTCTACTTGGTTGTTGTATCGTAGGTGACTTACCTTCATTCTAGAGACATTTGAGTCCGCTGGGGGGTTACCACCATGCAACTGGGAAAGCTTGGACTCGGCCCTGCGAAGGTCCTGGATGGTGGTGTGGAAAGTAGCGTCAGTCATTTTGCGTCTGGTTGTGAATGTGACGAAGTGTCAGAAGTGGCCGGATATAATTTCGAATCTGAAACATATAATTTCAAGAAATGCAACTAAGGGTTTATATATCTACCCTCTTCTTTGTCGATGGCAATACGCTGTGACGTTTGTTATAATGACGACATGGCATCCAGGGCCACGGATATTCTCCCCACCGGAACCAGCTGGGGCCTGCTTCATCTTGGAAGTATAGTATCTATTGGAGATTCCGGATTTTCGAGTTAACAGCAGAATAATTAGCTGGACAAAACTCGGGCTTTAGCGTCATAGCTGATGGGCCACCTGAGGTGGCAAGCCTGTTCATTTTCTTCCAGGACAAGATGCTATGTATTGCCTCTGATAATGACCACCCGAGGCCTGTTAAGAAGTCAATAGATACCCTGAAGCTGAACGGCCAAGATGTCATAGACCGGTTGGAAATGCAATGCCCCTGATTCCCTCGAGTTGTTCAGTACATTTTGGCCGCGGTCCCAAGATTGGAGACATTTGACGGATCAACCATTGGCGGTACTCTCCTAAGCTCGATACAAGCCTATTGTATCGCCTAGCTCCCGTGTGATAGAACAACGGGGGCCATCGCCCCAGGGGGAGTATATATACAACCGTTGGCCATAGTGTTTCGGCTGAATTATGGCCAGAGCGCTGAGCATCCAGTTGCTATCCTGAAACCATCGAAACCATCACAGAATGTTCTCCACAATAGATGCATTGGATATTAATTAAAGGCTTCAAGGAGTTCAATAGTAGTCGGCGTCCTAAAGCGGCATAAAAGCATGGGGCCATCAATATCACCGCCTGCCTTTTTTGAACGGCAGAAAATGTTTCTTATCGAAAGACAGTCAACTCTGAGGCCTGTGGAGACTTGGTGAATCTGATCATTGTGTTAATCTGAGGATATTTTGCTCTTCGACACATATATCCTGCAATATGCCTCGAGATCCGCTGATCGGACTGGTTGGCAAGGTATGTTGTTCCCCTCCATTGTTCCATCACCCCACTAACCGCAGGTGCGAGGGGCATACAGCCGTCTAGTGGAAAATCCACGACATTGAACAGTTTGACCGATGCGACTTCGAAAGTCGGTAAGTGAAACGGAATGCAGTTGCAATCAATGTCGGAAACCTGATCAATTACGCTCTGAACAGGAAATTTCCCGTATGTACACCCCGATTGTTCTACACGAGCATCTCCGCCTTATCGCAGTTGATCGCGCAGGCTGTGTTGACACCCGATAGCTTCACAACCATTGACCCCCAGCGAGCTATCGGATACCTTCAGATCGACTGCCCGTGCCTTCGACACAATGTTTCGGATCGGTGCCAGCCCAATTATGGAGGCTGCCACGAAGGCCGACGTTCCGTGCCGATTGAGTTGCTAGATGTTGCAGGTCTTGTGCCAGGCGCGCATCAGGGTCGCGGACTGGGGAACAAGTTTCTGGACGATCTTCGTCACGCCGATGCTTTGATTCACGTCGTGGATGTGAGCGGGACAACAGATGCTGAAGGTTAGTTGGGAATGCTGGATTGAATACGATGGCGCAAATTGGATATTGATAAATATCGACAGGAAAGGCTACTCGAGGATATGATCCATCAGTAGACATTGAGTGGTTGCGATCAGAGATCGTGCGATGGGTGCTAGGAAACCTGATGGAGAGATGGTATGTTTGCAGGTGCCAAGAACAAAACGAAGAACAATTGCTGATTTATCCTTAGGGGTTCTATCAAGAGAAGACATCAGGCATTAAGTCAGTGAAATTTTGCAGCGCTATTTACTATAACACAGAACTGACCCTTAGCACAGAGGCAAACCCTGTCGACACATTGCAGAAACAGTTTGCCGGTTATGGAAGTACCCATGCCACTGTTGCGCGATTTATGGATAAACTTGCCTTGAAAGAGCCGTTGGAAGATTGGTCAAATGAGACCGTAGAGCTTGTTGTTAACGCTTTTATCGACGAGAAATTCCCCACAGTGTTCGCATTGAACAAGATCGACCACCCAGATGCAGACAAGGTACGAGGGGCCTGGCTCATGTCCGATATATTATGCTAACAGGAATTACAGAACATCAGTAAAATTGCGAAAATGCAAGATCCCCAAAGCATTGTGCTTTGTTCTGCCATATCTGAAGTTTTCCTCCGGAAGCTAGCAAAGCAGGAGTACATCAAGTATGTCGAGGGCAGTGAGTTTGTCGACACACGAGAAGATTTGATCGAGATGGGCGACCCAGATGGAGGAGGTCTCAAAGAGATGGACGAAAAATTGAAAACGTATGTTCAGTGCTCATAGCAAGGTTATAACGTTGCTAACGACTTCGCTCCAGTCGGGTTGAGAACATGAAAGACATGGTGTTGTATCGGTTTGGATCTACTGGAGTTGTTCAATGTCTTTCCCGAGCCGCAGAGCTTCTGGGCTTAGTACCAGTGTTCCCCGTCCGGAACGTGGCAACATTCAACTCTGGCACTGGAACCGCCGTATTCCGCGATTGTGTTTTGGTACCTAAGTGAGTACTCCCTACTACGAGTCTGACATAGCCTATCTAACATCCCACAGAAACAGTACCGTTGGTGATGTTGCCCGGAAGG